TGCTCTCTCGAGAAGAACTCAAATCAGTAGTGTTCTTGCTGAAAGCGTGCAGTCGAAAAGTCCCTATTTTCAGCTGTTGTATGTAGCACCACTCAACGCTGCTTAAAAAATGCAAGAATAGAGAAGTTCTTCTCGGAATTGCGATTTATTAGCGGTTAGTAGAACAAACAGAAACAAAGACAACGACAATGGGTAGTTATATAGCAGAGCATGGAACCTAGAGTGGCCTGTGAACTTGTGCAAACCAAACTGGGTAATAGGCAGGTGTTACAGGGCTTTAAGCTGGAGTTTTTGGCGGTGAATGGCAGTAGCCCCTAACTTTGCCAAACGTGGGGTACAAAGCCACTCCGAATGCCAGCTACTAAGGGCAGTCAACTCCATCGAGACTCACCTGTCTGTTATCACAAGAATGCTGAGTTGTGGGCAAAAGTCGTGCCCCAGGCGGGAGTCGAACCCGCACCTCACGCTTTCCGGGCGAGTGCGCTATCCGTTACGCCACCAAGGCCGCTCTTGTGATAATGTCGCTTTTTTTTTTTTGTAAGGTTACGTGCATAAGCCGTTGAGCTGATGAGGGTAAAAGTGGCACCATGGTGGCGTAACGGATTAGCTTCGGCTGCCGGAAGCGTGAGGTTCGACTCCCGCCTGGGGCACGACTTTTGCCCATAACTCAGCATTCTTGTGATAACATTCGGAACACGTACTGCGGCGTTAAACAGCAGTTATCATAACAAATCACCCCCGGTCTTGTTTGCCTCTCAGGATTATTCATGAGGAATTTAAAGCCCTTGATTTCAATCTGATTCGATCTGATAATGTTGCACTTCATTAAACGCAACCAATTTGTGGCCGCTGGACATTAAGGACTGCACTTGCGTAGGGCAGATAGAGCTTTGACACTTTCCTCTGGTGAATTATTTTCAAATACGCAACGCCCGTCCATGTTCTCTGTGCTAGCCGGTCAAGTGTTCCACATGTGTTCCCCAAGGGAAGAGTCAAGGTACCTTTGCTGGGATTCTTCTCCTCGTAGTAGTAGTTTCGGTCTCTACACGCAGGACAAAAGAGTCCGTTTGTTTTGGTAGATTCGTCTAGAATGTCACCAACACTGCCACCTTTCTAGTTCCAGAGCACGTGTTTCAATCAAAGTTGTTTCGCTGACAGGTGGGTCATGGCATGACACTTGCCAACTTTGTAAAGCTGGCCAGAAGGGTGTGCCCCCGAGTCGGACAGGGGCGGGCCGTACAGTTCTTTCTTCTACGATCATGCAGCTACGGCAGCCGTATGTCCTTGTCACGGTAAGTCAACCCTCAATATATTTTACTTTTTCCTTCAAGAGTGCTCTTTGATCCTGTCGAAGAAGCCATGAATAGAACCCCTAGATCTATGCTCAAACCAGTTTTACTGCGACATCAACTAGCAGCCGAATGTGGATCAATTCCTTTTAATGTTACTGTTTTTCTTCCGCGCCATCTTCTAGTCAGACATTTATTTTATGACACCACTTTATTTTTAGCATCAATGAAAAATTAGCTCAGAAAAACAATCGAATTAAGGTAGCTGTCCTACTGTTCTTTATTTTCAGGTATTTTTCGTCGCTTTCATAGCCGTAGTATATTCACAAAACACTCCACTCTTCCCAGTAGCATGTGAGCTGAATGTGCTCATTGTCCTCGACAGGTTAGCCAACCGTGCACCCGTGCGTGCAGTAGACCTTGAAAAAGCGAAAACCGAAAATCGAATCACTTGCAGGTCAGATTCCGTAAAGGGCGGCTTCAACAAAAGTCGAAAGTTCGTGACAGATGTGTCGGAAGAACTGCAGATAGGGCCCCATAAACATAGGGTAGGTAGGAAGCCTCCCAATCTGACTCATTTCTCTCAGGAAAAATATTGAAAAAAATTTTAAACAGTGTGATTTCAGGTGGCCATGATCGTTTACTCAGGACTGAACTACCGTAGGGAAATCTACCCATGGAATTTTGCCAAAACTAATGAGGAGTTTGTTCGGATCACGAACGAATTACGAGCAATTGGTGGAACAACGAACACGAAAAAGGTCAATCTCCTTTTTCTTCTTATTAGTTGCTATCCACAGGATACTAAACTGCAACCTTGTAGGCTCTTGAAGTTGGAATCCAGTTGTTGAATCAACGAAACATCAGCATTCCAACACTTGTTTTGGTGGTAACCGATGGAAGGTATGATGAACTTTTTTGTTTTTCTCTTCCCCAAAGGTCAACAGCTTGGGGAAGAAAATGGAGGTCTCGTCTGGTCAAAAGTGTCACTTTGCATTATAGGTCTGCAGATGATCCGAAGGCACCAGGACAAGAAATTCAACGCATGCCGAATACATGGGTGTTTGCCGCCGCCACAGGAGACCCCGAAAAAGTCGACAAGTTCGTTTTCTTGAATAGCTGCCTTGGAACTCGCGCAATGGAGCACTTCAATGCCAAGCCAACGAAACCTTCTCTATCTAGGGAAAAACTAGAGTCTGAACCACTGATGTGTGACGCCAAGTTGCTGGACTTGATTTCAAAAATGTTCTCGCACGAGGGGTGGGGAAAACGTGGTGGTCCCTCTTTTTCCTCAGATATTTTTCCTAAACTTAGCCTTCAGAGCTCAAGAAAGCTGGACGGTGTTATTGGTGCCTCAGACCATTGTAACATTGTCTTCCAATGTAGGTAACTTCATTGGGATGGACAATGAATGTAACATACTGCTGATGAGGTAAAGCTTCTAATGTCTCATCCCAACGCCTTTTCAGTTGCTCTTTCGTTTCGAAGCATAAAAGCAGCAAATGCTTCAGTCAGGGTGTGCTACTCAAGTTTTGGTCTGACCAGCGCTTTCTCGAAAACTAATCTCGAAGTCAGCGGGTAAAGGTACGGTCCGCGATCAGGTATCGAAGTTGAAAATATGGCGTCAGGAGGTTAGAGTGGTCCGCGACGAACAACCTTGTACCGGTTTCGCGGCAAAAAATTCTAAGGGAGGGGCGCTATAGCGCAATATAGGTTCAGTGGTTCCTCCCTTCTTTCCAGTGACTTCCGCCTCCAGTGCACGGCTTTCAGTGGTATACAGGATTGCAGGACGAAAAAGCATGAAAATTGCCACTTGTACGATCGTGGAGTTCTTATCGGTGAATCAGCTGTGCGTTGGGATCGAAATGGGGTTCTATCTAGGGCAGGTGGCATGTTTTTTGTGCTTTTTTTGTTCACAGTCGAGTTACTCAACCCCTTGTCGTCTATATGGAACCCCCTAATCCACTATCTGAGATGGCGAATAATCGCGGGTTCTGCCTTTAAACTCATATCATGACGGCACTCGAGTTCTTTGGCCACGTCGCGGCGCCGAGTTCTCTTGAAGCTGCTTTTAATCCTCTGCAACTGCCGTTTTAGAACAGCTCTGAAAGTTTGGTGAGCTGCCCAACTGAGTGGCGGCAAAGGTTTGCCTAATTTCAATTTTCTCCTCCAGTGTTGGGAATACCTGCTTAACAGTCGCGTCCAAGATCTTACCGATGGACACTTTGTTGTCCAGTTGGGAGAGAATGGTGTCGTGATCATAAGTGGAATAATTGGGTCCAGCGCAAAACATAGACATTGGCCACAATGGGTTACTTGCGTGGCTAGTGATTCTTCGCAAATTTCCAAGTATTTCTCGATTTGAATACTTTCTAGGCGAGAACTGATGGATATTACTGGCAATATCAATCACATAGTACTTCATCGAGGACGTGAACTGGCCACTGACATTACCAGACGGCTACTCCGCCAAGCACAGGCAAGTCGTCAATGTTGTGAAGAAAGGTGTTGATGGTGTGGTGAATGAACTGTAACTGATTTATGGGTTCTCTCTGCTTACCTGCAATATCTCTTCCCATGCAAATTACTGTGTACGTCCATGTGTATGGAATGTTTGTTTTGTAAACCTGATGGGAAAGAAAACTTTGTAGGCAACATTTGTGACGGATCGATTTCTTTGGGAGTTTGTGGGATTTTCGAGAGATCTGAAAAAGTGGGAACTGACGTAGTCATACAATACGAGCACCGTCGATCGCAATTCCTGATCGGCTCCGTCTCAGGCCGCGGGCCGTCCAACCATCTGGGCCGGGTACTTGCTGCCAGACCCATCTGAAAAGAAAAAGACTTTGAAAAAGAAATTTAAACTTGACGTTACATGGCCGCTGCTTCGCCCATACAAATCGCATTGGGAATACCTTTACAATTCTGAGTAAAAGTAGAGTGCGTGGCGCATCCCAGTATGGGTGGGACTGCTCAGCGGCGAATTACAATTTTTTTCTCCTACTATTTTACATTTTCAGGAAAAATGCCGAACGACAACAACCACTACTACAACGACGACTACTACAACAACGACCACAACCACGACTACGAATCCGATCACTGGTACTGAACCATTTCTGCCTTTCTCTTGTGAAAAAGTATTCGTTCTTCCAGGATGCGAAATGGATTTGGTGCTCGTGCTGGACTTTTCCACTACAACCGATCCTGTTTATAGATTCTACAAAGAACTGTCTCAAAGACTGATCCGGGCTCTTAGAATTGGTCCTCACCACACCCAGGTTTGTGAACGTTTCTCGCAGTGTTACGGCTTGGCAGCACTTTTTCTTTGATTTAGCAGTTGACTGGTCCAATATGACCCAATGCAGTTATGCCTTTTGGCGTTTGATTTTGTTCTGACGAGGTGGTTACCAGGAAGAACATTGGGTCAAACGGCCTAAACTTCGAATTCAGTGGTCGACAGTTCGCTTCAGCCGAGAAAGTACGCTGTCACAGCAGAGCACTAGCTATCAATACAGGGGGGAGGGCCAAAAAAAGACATTTCGACCGAGTCACATATCAGCAAAGTTTTCGCAGCCCAGACAGAGGACGTGGATACGAGTACCAGGGCGGAAGATACCCAAGATGTTCCTCGATAAGCAGGAGCTGGCTCTCGCCCATCACCTTCATGTACACCAAAATATGAAGTCATCTCCAGCCGCAATCTGACTGAGAAACAACCTTCAAGAATCTGTCACCTCCAAACAGCTGCGAAACAATGTCGCTACGGTCTAGGACATCATCTTCACGGCAGTCGCCAAGAGGCGGGTTGATGGTATGGACCGGACGCACCCTGGAATGGAGAGACCGATATTTTCTTCGTGGGCCCCGGACTGAAGGTGAGCGCTGGCGGTTACATCGAGCAACTCGAGAAGAACGTCCTCTCCACATGTCGTTGCCCGTGCCTTCTTGGAAACTTTGTACTGCTACAGGATTGGGTGACACCACATGGAATCAAAGGGCGTTGGGAAAACTCTTGCCTACTTGGAATGGAAGGGCGTTGAGTACCTGAAGAAGGTGGAATATCTAAGCAGGTCACCTGACCTAAACCCCCTCAATTACCTAGTTCGGGCGGAGTTCAATAGGGTGGTCTACGGTGGCGGAGAAATCGACTATCTCGCTGATCTCAGGCACCACATCGCGGTCGCGTGCCAGAATCTCTCGATGGCGCTCCTCCAGAAGGCTGTGGCGGAGTGTCATGATAGTATTTGATACGCTCTTTACAATATTGGTGGTAGAAAGCCGATAAAACTTCAATTAAAGGGTAACTTATGGGCGCTCGAAAGTCGAAGGAAGAAAAAAGCTTTTTTTGCCCCCCCCCAGTTTTAGAGGGTACCTTTACTTAGTTTGTACTTACATTCACAAATGACTTAGCTCAAGTGCAGCAGCAGACTTTCGCCTCATGACCCATAGAACCGTGACCTCTTGAAAGCAGAGTTTCTGATACAGCCAGCGAAAAGTTCCTATGTAGCGGATCAGAAAAGAAGTGCCCTATTTGCTGCGTGTACTTGCTGAGAAGAAATGAGGGGAATGGAGCCACTAAAAAAAAATCCTCAAATAGGGCCGTATTTCGGCCAAGTGAGAGGGTGTGAATCGATGTGAATATCGGGCGAGAATTCAAACAAATCAGCAATGGGCATGCAAACGAACAAAACGCGTGCGGCAGGCAAGATGTCTATCGAAGCGAGCGGAGCCACTTTAGCAACCTTGTGCCTTAGCGCAACTACTTTACCACTTTCTGACTTGAAGTTATGGAGGGTTGTTCGCCACGATCCTCACTCCCTCTTTACGAAGAGCTAGGATAACAGAGGATAACTGATCGTGGGTTTCCGCCTTTGCTATTAAAACCCAGTAAGTGTTCCAACTAACTACTTTGTAACGCCCAAAACAATTTAACACTCTCAACAAACTCTGTTGAGGTTGTAAGAGAGAAGCTCCAGAACACCATCCAACTGCTTAATTACTTGCAGGTGGCAGTCGTGACATTTGCAAACGTCGGTCGAACAAGAACCAAATTCAATTTGAAGCGATTCAAAACTCAGGAAGAGGTCCTCAGGGCTATTGGCGAACTGGAAAGTCGAGGAGGCACGACAGCTATAGGTGACCACTTTCACTTGATCATTTCCTTGTCTAGTCCCTGTTTCCCCTCTGACGTATTTTAATTGACTCTATTTCTTTCACAGTGCCACTTACACGCCACATTTTCTCTGTAGCATTCTCATATTGGGCCTTGCGTCCATTGTACTCTTCCACTACTATCTGACGCCCTTCGCTAATGTTTGTCATTTCGACGCCCATTGGCCTTTTGTTCGAAGGGCATCAGCTGATAACAACGAAAATCAAGTTTTCCCTTGTCGAGAAAAGCGTGGCGCCATGGAAATGATATGGGTCGGTCGTGCATAATGACATAATAAACGTCTGGGACACTGCGGTTGGGAAACCAGTTCCACTCACTCCACCGCTAAGGTCGAGTAGCTACAAAGGCCATAAGAGTACTTACATCTCAGAAATGGGGACTGTTAGTTCATACGAGGGTTATTTGCGAGGATGACACACAATCTTCGGCGCTGTTACGGCTTGAAAGGGGCATTTTCCACTTTTTCAGTTTCTGTCGCTAGTTCATATCAGTTAACAGGTATCATTCTGGTGGAACCTCTGTTGTGTTCCTGGTTCTGGTGTGAACTCTTGTGAAGCTGCGAAACAGCACAAGTGAGCCATTTAGGTTACAAAACTTTCAGGTTTTCACGAGCTAAACTGCGCAGGCTTAACTGAGTGCTATATGGTTCCCCCCACCCAAGCCTAACTGCGCTCAACTTTCCGTCCGTTCCACGCACCACACTCAAAAGCTACCATGATCCTCAATGGGAAAAGAATGCATAGGAGGCTCCAACAAGGTACTAGAGCTTTCTCTTCTGGAGCTTTTGGTGGAAAAGAATTTCAAATGGTGGAAATGCGTCGGAAAGGCCTTCGAATAGGTACACAACAACTAAATAGCAGTAACTTGTTGGTAGTATTAGGCACTCACATAGGAGAAAAATGAACGATTTCGCCCCTTGAAGAATCACAGCCCTTCCACCCCCCCCCCCCGCAAAAAAACTCCCATGTTTCACATAACAGCCATCAATAAGCAATGGAATTCAAAAAAATCGGAGTCAGAGTCAGGAAAGCTTCATAAGGAAGTCCAGGTGATTCCAGGTGAAGCAATAAGAGAGGGCGCCAAACAAGCCAACGAAAGGGAAGGAGCAAGGCCAGGCATCGCTACGAAGGTATTCATCCCATAGACTTCGCATATCTTTATGTACCGATTAATCCTCGCTGGTTTGAAGGTGATGGTGATATTCACTGATGGCTGGAGTAACAAGGGACCTGAACCAGAGCAAGCGGCTAAGGAAGCTGTTGCAATGGGTTACGAAATCTATTCTGTATCTTACACGGTTAGTTGTCAAAGCTCATCTTATCTCTCTTTTTACAAAATACTGTTTAAGGCATTCAGTAAAGTCGAGTTCAGCGGCTCAAATAATAATGAAACAGAGGTATGTGACCAGTAGTGATGGAAAAAAGCAGAAAAAATCATCTAAAATGTCCCATATACATGCTCCTTGCCGAACCGAGCTTGTTCTAATAACTTCTTTCTTATGCCAAACAGGTTTGTATGGTGGAATACTTTATTTACGCCTGACGTTTCGACAATCTCGTCGTTTTCAAAGGCCTGGAAGCATACCGAAACTTTGGAAACTATCTATCCTATTCAACATGGGCCCGCTCTTAAAGACACATGGTACGCTCAAACACATTAAGGGTGTATGAGACTAACAGCCCCCAGCTGTCGATGTGTCGTGGTTTCCCCGCCCGAAACTGCACGGGGGTCCGAGTACGGGACCGTGGGAAAGGCTTATTCCTTGCTACACCGCCCAAAATTCACCGCGCCAGGCAGGAAACCACGACACATCGACAGCTGGGGGGCTGTTAGTCTCATACACCCTTAATGTGTTTGAGCGTACCATGTGTCTTTAACTAGTGGCAAATCGGACCAAGGAACTAAAGGAACGACTGGAAACTCCAGCAATAAGTTACCTCGTCACTTCCACCAGCGCCGAACTGCTCTACTTTGTCACACAATGGAGCAAATGAGACTCACTGCTATGCACTTCACGTTTTCATAACTCGTTTTAACCTGTCGAATGGAGCACCGGACTTCATGTAGACCCCGTCATCGTAGACACTCATTACTGTTTTCGGTCCTTAATTGCATGTTGTCGCCATCTACTGCCTGAAACCATCGTCCTTTGCGGGCGAGACGTCGCACGCGACGCCCAGCAGCGCGGCAAATTACGATCCTCTTGTCACATACCCCACAAAATGCAACTTGCGCGCGGTGAATTTTGGGCGGTGTAGCAAGGAATAAGCCTTTCCCACGGTCCCGTACTCGGACCCCCGTGCAGTTTCGGGCGGGGAAACCACGACACATCGACAGCTGGGGGCTGTTAGTCTCATACACCCTTAATGTTCCTTGATCCGATTTGCAACTCGTTCCTTTAAGAGCGGGCCCATGTTGAATAGGATAGATAGTTTCCAAAGTTTCGGTATGCTTCCAGGCCTTTGAAAACGACGAGATTGTCGAAACGTCAGGCGTAAATAAAGTATTCCACCATACAAACCTGTTTGGCATAAGAAAGAAGTTATTAGAACTATAAGTACCAAATGCCCAGGTTACAAGAAAGGCGAACATGGAGCTTGCTCGTGCGTAAGGCGATGACAGGGCGTGGTCGGACGAGTTCATACCGTGTGAGAATCGTTCAGATTAATTTATCCACCTTAGAAATGTGCAACAGAGTGCCCTCCGTGCCAATAACTATGAGGAGGCATTTGAAGTGCTGCAAGAAAACAAGACTAACGTCTCCGACTGGAATTGCCGTGCTTCCCTTCCCCCCCCCCCCCCCTTAGCTTTAGACGGAAGTCCTTTTCATTACTGTCACCATCTGTCACTATTTTCGAATGGCCCGCTGTAGTAGGGAAATCATATGCCAGAGCAGTTGTATTAGAAGGGAGCGTTGGGAATGTGCTTCTTTCACTCTTTTTTTCTCTGCTGCCTCTTCTTTTTTTCACAAAGCAGGAATTACTGTAAAACCTCCCCCCCTCGCTTCATACCCTACGCAAATGAAGCATACGAGCATCAGCATCGGTCGCCCATTTGTGGGTGGCTGGTCGGCATGTTGAAAACGTGACAGGGCGCTATAAGGGCACCGTCCTTGGAAAAGACGCTTCGCAGCGCCTGCTCAGGGGCGCCGAATTCTGTTCTGCTAGACGTATGAATCCTACCCGTCTTGAGGATTTATCGTACCATTTGCCTTTCACTAAGACCCCTCCGGTATGAGGCAGACTTGTACGACGTCCATGGTGTGAAACCTATTTCAAGGCGTTCGTGTCCATTTTTTCTGCTGTTCTTTCCACAGTAGTGTCTGTTAGCACCTCGAGGTTAAAAGAATGAGTTCATCTTGCTCATTTTGCCATTTCAGGGCCACGTTGAAAATGCAGTGACGATCAACGACTATACATTGGAAGCCATCGCGAAAGACCTACAGCACAAATTTACTGACAAGAACTTCGATGAGTTGATCAACAGGGTTCGACAACGAAATCTGAAATGCTTGTGAAAACCATCTGATAATCACATGGATCTTTAATTTGTAAATAGAGGTGTACAGACACTCATAGTGCGTCTTCTCATGATTACTACCTCCAGCTTTGTATAGATAGCTAAATGCTGACTCAGGCTTGAACTGCCATTGAAGATAACTGTGAAAACCTTTTTTTGCTGCACTGTGAAATACTTTTAATGAATGTGTCATTGTATTGGATCGTCTTCTGTAACTCTTTCTGAGAATCTTCGACCGAGAATTAATCAGTATGGGATTATTTCGGACCCGAGTAATGTTTCCATTTTAGTTAGACTTGTAACAAAAGCCAAAAGTAAACTCAAAGGCACAGCCCGCGGAGGTCATGTGGCTTGGGCTTCTTGGAACGT